CAGGTCGAAGAGGCGGGGATGGAGCCAGTAAAGGTGAGTGTAGGTAGAGAGTTAGGAAGGGGATAGGTCAGTCCAGGGAGGACGGACAGGTCAAGGGGGCGGGATGAGGTTGGTCGGTAGGAGATGGAGGTGCGGCTTGAGGTGGGAGGAGGGGATAGGTGGGAGGAAGAACAGGTTAGGGAGGCAGGGACGAGCTGGACTGGTTTTGGGATGCGGTAGGGGGAGGGGAGATTTTGAAACTTGTGAAATCCACATTGATACCATTGGGCTGCAGGGTTCCCAAGCGGAATATGAGTTGCTGTTCCTGCAACCTTCGGGTGGCATCGTTGTGGCACTGCAGGAGGCCCAGGATGGACATGTCGTCTGAGGAATGGGAGGGGGAGTTGAAATGGTTCGCGACTGGGAGGTGCAGTTGTTTGTTGCGAACCGAGCGTAGGTGTTCTGCAAAGCGGTCCCCGAGTCTCCGCTTGGTTTCCCCGATGTAGAGGAAGCCACACCGGGTACAGCGGATGCAGTATACCACATTGGCAGATGTGCAGGTGAACATCTGCTTGATGTGGAAAGTCTTCTTGGGGCCTGGGATGGGGGTGAGGGAGGAGGTATGGGGGCAGGTGTAGCACTTCCTGCGGTTGCAGGGAAAAGTGCCGGGTGTGGTGGAGCTGGAGGGGAGTGTGGAGCGGACAAGGGAGTCACGGAGAGAGTTGTCCCTCCGGAAAGCAGATAAGGGTGGGGAGGGAAAGATGTCTTTGGTGGTGGGGTCGGATTGCAGATGGCGGGCATCACTCCCATGATATACTTAAAAAAAATAAATTTCTCAAGTATGTTAATTAATTTTATACAAGTATAAGAATCAAATTATGTTTTTGCATAGAACAATGAACTTTGAGCAAAGAATTTAGTATCTGTGTCAACTTCTATATGGAGCAATCTGAAACTAATCCAAGTTCCTCATGACATGGCTACCTTCACAATCTTGTGTATTTATTTGCTTTTAAGTATTTCCGAATTTTCTCTAAAGGGAGCAATGGTAACTTCCACTTCATGAAGCTTTCTGGGCTCCAACAGCCTGAGGAAATGTTCTCCTGACCTCTCTTTCTCGTACTTGTGCTACCTCTCCAACCAGAAATAATAACTATTTCCTGTTCACTCCATCAAAGCCTTTGCTAATTTGGAAAAAGATCTGCTCAATTTGAATCTCCTAATAGCCTTTTTACCAAATAGAAACAGTCTCAGGTCAAACATTCTCTGGTATCTTCCAGATGACCCCACACTGCAACTAAATTCTTAAAAGCCATTGTGTATTGGCATTTTTGTATTTTTACCTACCAGCACTGGCCATTTAGGCAATTACACTTAGGTGGCATGTTCATCGACACCTTTGAATGTCCTTCCATAATGTATATGGTCCTTTCCTGTTTTCTCCCCTGAATGTATTAACTTCACACTTCTCCAAATTAAATTGCATCTGCCTGCAGCATAATGGCAATTACAATTCTTCTCACCATTCATCAAAATTCTTACTTTTATGTAAAGGGAAAGTAACGTGGATGCTGGAAATCTGAAGCAAACACAGAGTGCTGGAGAAACTCAGGAGGCCTGGCAGAATATGTGGAGAAAGAAAGTGAGTTTTGAGTCCAGTATAAAAGGCTGAAGAGGAGTCATACCAGACTCGAAACGTTAACTCTGTTTCTCTCTCCACCGATGCGATCAGACTTGAGTTTCCCCAGCATTGCTCTGTTTGTTCCTGCTTTTATGTCATCACAAAGTTTCTCTTCAATTTACAGATACTCCAAGAAGTTGACACTAAATAGAAAAACAGTTCTAAACCGACAAAATCCAACAAAGAATAATTCTAATTGTAAATAGGACAAGTTATCTGGTCTTCAAGGGCCAGACTGATAAGGTTCGGGGTCAGTTTTGACATCCAAACCTTAAGCACAATCAAATATAGTTTGTAGATAAACAGAAGTGCAATCTTTTACAACATTATTTTACTGTGCACCTAGAACTGTGATTTTATTGTATTCAAACATTACTTCTCACCTGGCTGCACAGTAGTGGCAAGAAGGGAATGGATATAGAGTGAAAACTGGGCCCTGATCCATTCATCTCCTCCTTCCCAGCCTGTCCCATCGAGGAAGATATCATCCCTATTTTCAGTTACATGTTTCACCAAAAAATCTGCAAACCGTAGGTCTGCTGTGGTGAGGTTCAACACCTTCCGTAGCTCCGGATCATGTGTTTGAATTGCAGCTTCCTCGATCTATAAAAATATAAAAGCTGCTATAGTTCTGATTCTCCTGCCAAAGTGAAAATTTATGAAACATGCTTTTAAAGAACGATTGAAGGTAAACGTTTGTTGCAAGCAAATTTACTCGTCAATATTTTAAACTTAGATTTTCATTAAGCTTCTTTGTTAAATATATTAAATATATCAGTAGTTATTATGAGGCTTAATATTTGGCATTCTAAAACTCATTATATTTTTCCAGTTAGTTTTTCCTACCTAAAATAGAATTGCCCATATATACTCTTATCCATGTAGATATTGATTCAGATTAGTAGCGTCTATGTATGATCCTGGTGGCTCCGCCAATTAGACTGCCACAGTGCCAGTTTACAATTAAAATGGGAATTAAGGTAGGCAGAAAGATTAAAGTGGGGAATAAGAGCAGAAAGCAATAAAGAATGAGATGGCTTCATTCCTGGAAAAAAATGCTCTACTCTCATGCCATAGTCAATGACATCAACTGTCAAAAGGTGTATTAAAATTATGAAAGCAAAAAAACTGCAACTGATAACAATGTATAACAGAAGCAGAATTTACTAAAACCATAAGCATGTCAGTTAACAGGAAAGAAGTCGTAACTGGAACCAGGTGATAACACAATTGAATAATTTATAAAAAGTGCCAGAACAAGGACTGGGGGAGAAAAAGATGCAGAAATGAAAAGACATGGAAACACTTATAAGAGATGCATGTGGACAGATGATTAAGTGGTTGAACAGATATACTTTCATTCATTCACTGGCATTTCCTCACAGACGAGGAGGACTCTCTTCTGTAGGCGTCTGCACAGATTGATGTGGCTTCTGTTATACATGGGACAGATGGTGGTCATGGGAAGGGTGGGTGGAGTATTGGTGTGGCAGCACACTCCTTATGCCGCTTTTGCCTGGCTTCCACTTATTCACGACAGTAAGTCTCAAGCTGCTCGACACCTTCCCGGATGCTCCTTCCCTACTTTGGACGGTCTTGGGCCAATGATTCCCAGGTGTCAGTGGGAATGCTGCACTTTGCAGTGAGGCCTTGAGGGTATCCCTGAAGCGCTTCTCTCCTATCTGGGGCTCGCGTGCTGTTTCAGAGCTAGCAGTAGAGTACCTGCCTGGGGGAAGTCTTGTGTAGGTCATATGGACGACATACCCAGCCCATCACAGCTGATTAAAGGTGGTCAGTGTCTCGATGTTGGCCTGGTTGAGGATGCTGATATTGGTGCATCTTTCTTCCCAGCGGATTCACAGGATCTTGCACAGACAGCATTGTTGGTATTGCTCCAGTGCCTTGAGGTATCTTCTGTAGACAGTCCACATCTCAAAGCCAAATAGGAGGAGGGTGGGGACCACCACAGCTCTGTATACCATGAAGTTGGAGTCAGATCTGGAGCTGTTGTCCTCGAACACCCTTTACCTCAGGCAGCTGAAGGCTGCACCAGCACACTGGAGGTAGTGCTGGATCTCTTCATCAATAACTACTTTGGTTGACAGGACACTTCTGAGGTATTGGAGGAGGCCAACATTCTCCAAGGCCTCCCCGTGGACCTTGATGATCAGGGATTTGCTCCGCAATGCCGGGTCAGGTTGGTGGAGGATGTTCATTGCAGATGTTCATGGTGAGAGCCATGCTCTCATATGCACCCATAAAGGTGATGACAATGATCTGCATATACGCAAACATCATCCACATACTGTATGCAGCTCAATGACACTGGTTGGGGGACTTTGGCTTTGGCTTGAAGGGGGTAGATGTTGAATAATTTCCTGCTGTTTGTGTAGGTTAGCTCCCTTCTGGCAGTGAGGTGAAGCATTGCAATGAGGTAGATCAAGAACATTGTTGGAGCGAAGATGCAGCCCTGCTTGACACCAGTCTGAACAGGGAATGGGTCGGTGGTGGAACCATTTGTCTTTATCACAACCTCCATGTCATTGTGGAGCAGACAAAGGACGGTGACAAATTTTGTGATGCAGCCAAAGTAGAGAAGGACACTCCATAATGCTTCCTGGCTGATGGTTTCAGCAGGTATACATTAAGTCCATGTATACTGTTGCCCTATTTAAATTTTTTACTTTAATGGCAGCCCGTTAATAGGACCTGTATTCTCATTAAGCATTAGAGATTTCTTTTAAAAGTCATTTCCCATTGGTCTGAAGTAAGGCCATGTGACCTGACTGATGGCAACACCTGCTGTTGATCTAATTCAAATTTGGAACTCAAGGATTGCAAAAGTGCGGATCCCACTCGCTCAGAAATCCTGAGCTGGGGTATCGTAACCATTTTACTAAAAAATGAATATTATAGTACATGAATCTAGGAGTGAGTTTGAGTTTCCCTTATATCTCTGGCTGCCACCAGTCCTCACTATAATCATGATTGTTGCACCCTAAACTCCTCTGTAGCTATTAATTTCTAGGCTCATATTTTGAAAATCCAATAGTTCTGGACAAATGAGCTTTCCCCTTTTGATTTTCAATGATAAATATGCCATAGAGTTCTTTTTATAAAGTGACTGAATTGAAGACTTAAGTTGAAGCTGTTCCTCCTGCTTCTCGCTGATCCTCTCTGGATCCCTCGCTTACAGTTTCAGGAGAGGGAAACAAGAGCTGGAGCAAATACAAACCTTCAACAGCCACAGTTTGGGCACTTCTGCACCATCAGAACTCTCACTTTCAGAATCCTGGAGCTCAGCTTTAGATAGAACCTGGATCTGATCCTTGAATGAGAATGCAGGATCACGAGAGGGAACTGAGAATGGGTGGTTCGGTGACAAGTTCAGTCAGGGAGTGGTAGAGGTTATAAATTGAAAGGTCAACAGCAGGGCAATAAATTAGGAAATGGCAGAGACAGAAAGTCAAAGGATCAGCAGCAAGAGAATAGATTAGAAAGCAGGAAAGACTGCAAGTCATAAGATCCAAGAGAAGAGAGATCTGCAATGTGGGTCACAGAGTGGGACTGGTGGCAACCAGGAGATATGTAGAGTTCTGAGGAAGGGTCACTGGACCCGAAATGTTAACTCAGATGTTTTCTTCACAGATGCTGCCAGACCTGCTGAACTTCTAGCAACTTCCGTTTTTGTTCCTGATATGGAGAGGAGGTTTGTTGAGGAGCACGATTAACAGCAAATGGAAGATAAGAAAAATGTACCATCTTTCTAAATCTATTTTATTTATAAAAAGTTATTTCATTTACCAGTGTAGGAATCTGGGAATTAAAATGCACTAATTTGTAGGACGTAATGTTTTAATTTTTTTTCTGATGGGAAAGGCCCTAAAGAACCTAACTATCACTTTTATATTAGTTTTAATGGAAAAATCTGATTCACGTAAAGTCATCTCTCTTAAAATCATGATTTTTAGGAATGTAACTACAACTTTAGTGAAGATATCCAGTACACAGTTAGGAGCACAATTAGGTGGAGGCAAGACTGAACAAATGAAAAGACATACACAAGACACTGGTATGAGATTAACTAAGGGGGCATGGACAAACTCGTGAAAAGTAAATTGTGGAAAACAGGCACAGGATCCCATGGTCCACAAAGTCCTTCTCAGGTGGATGTAAACATCCAAGGCACTTTTGAAAACTGCACTGAGTCATAGAGTTACACAGCATGCAAACAGACCCTTCGGTCCAATTTGTCTGCGCTGACCAGATATCCTAAACTGATCTAGTCCCATTTGCCAGGATTTGGCCCATGTCCCTCCAAACCCTTCCTATTCATGCACTCATTTTTAATACTGTAACTGTATTCGCCTCCATCACCTCCTCTGGCAGTTCATTCCATGCATGCATCACATAAGTTGTTCCTCAGGTCCCTTTTAAATGTTTCCCCTCTCACCTTTGTCCTCCAGTTTGGACTCACCCACCCTGGGGAAAAGACCTTGGCTATTCATCCTATCCATGCCCCTCATGATTTAATAAATTTCTATAAGGTCACCCTTTTGCCTCTGACACTCCAGGGAAAAGAGCCCCAGCCTGTTCAGCCTCTCCCCATAGCTCAAACCCTAGAACCTTGGCAACATTCTTGCATTTCTTTTCTGAACCTTTCAAGTTTAAGAACATCTTTCCTATAGCAAGGTGATCAGAACTGAACACAGTACTCTAGAAGTGGCCTAATCAATGTCGTGTACAGCCGCAAAAATGACACCCCAACTCCTATACTTAATGCACTGACCTATGAAGGCAAACATGCCAAACACCTTTTTCACCACCCTGTCTACCTGAGACTCCACTTTCAAGGAAATATGGACCTGCACCCCTAGGTCTAGGGTAAGTTTATTCTGATGTTCCAGTGGAAATTTTATGTGACAACTAACAGATCTATGTCAACTAGCGGACCACCTCAGCAGTGTTTTTGGGATCTAGGTATATATGCAAAGTGGCTACTGCATTTGCCTATCTCAAAAAAGTTACTAATTTTCAAAAGCAATTCATTTTGAGGACTTGGAAGGTTCTACATAATCAGGTGTTTCCCATCATAACAAAAGGGTTCAGAATAAGGGATATAGGGAGTGATGATCAGCCAGAAGTATACTCAATGACAGAGTAGTTAGGAGGAATGTATGGTCTCTTTTTCCTGTACATTCTTATTAATAAGGCCTTGAGAAAGAAAATTGACAGCTTATCACCTGGTTGCATATTTCGTAAAGTAACAGCATTTCCACGTTTTCTTCTAGATAGCAGTAAAACATATATAGATGTAAAGGGGGAATGAATGAGGAAGAATATTTATTTACAATTCCTGGATGCTTGGGATAAACTGACATTAAATTAAAAAGTTTCTCAATCTCTATATTTTATCTTGACAGAAATGTTAAAAATCTATCACTGCATCTTGGCACTGGGTAGAAGCTAACCATTTGCTGTACCAGGAACAAGAATCAATTTGTTAAGAAGTTCTTTAATTTTACATACTCAATTAAATTGTTGATCAATGACCAGTGAAACTAATAAGCTGACTTGTGTAGCACTTTATCACTTCCATTTTACCAAAACTATAATGTAGTGTTTGCATATACAAAATCCTTTATGGGGGGGGGGGGGGGGGGTGCGCGCGCGGTAGGAGCTCGGACTTCCTGCGGGTAATAAGAACAAAAGGGGAAATCACTCCTTTGCATCATGTGCCCAAAACTGACACGTCAATGGGAATAAAGAAAAGGGTCTGAGGCCAACTTCACGAGTACGTGGATCCACAGGTAATGAATCAATGGATAACAAGGAGTGAGTATATATTAACTGCTTCATTTATATTGTAAGAATTAACCAACATAAAGGCAGAACCTCATGAAGAACACATGATTAATTTAATCTAAACAAGAGAATCTTAACGATTTGCAGATTGCCACTGGAATATCAAAGTTTACTGCATCCACTATAGTTTTTTTACTGAACTTTTCTTCTATTAAAGTAATGGTTTACAATTTATGGAATTTTCATTGTTGTGCTGTTAGCCAGAAAGTCAATTTAAATTTAAAGCCACGAATCAAATTACATTGCAGATTTCTGCACTTACATCAATAACTGCATCACTTAAGTGCTTCTGCTGGCGAAAAAGGATATTTGTTGCCCCAGCAACAAACCCACGGACAGTGACATCAGACAGAAGATGATGCTGCTGCAAAGCCATGTATGGTAAACAAAGATAACCCTGTAAGAGAAAATAAATCACGTTAGTCACTGAATATTCTTTAGAAATTAGATTAACAATGGCAATGGAAAGCATATAAAAGGACCCTACTATAAGGAAGTGTGGATCTAAGATACATAGATGTTCGATCATCAAAGGAATCAACAGGTAAGGCGGGGGTGGTGAGAAGCAGCGTGGGGTGTCAGAGAGAAAAGTAGAATTGAGACAACAATCAGATCAGCCATATTTTATCAATTTCGAAACAAGCTTGAGAGTCCAGATGGTCTACATTTGCTCCTAATTTCGATGTTTATATGGATACAGTCACAAAGTTGTATCCAATCAATTCAATTTCAATTTGCCTATTATCACGAAAGGAAATAAACTACAGAATGAGGAATGTACAGCTGGAAAGATTCCCCATCATCACATCTCTACAGTCTGCAACTAGTTGCAAATTACAGGACTACTTCCTGCATCAAAAGACTGACCCTTGTCCTTACCTACCAGCCACCAGCATCCGCATCCGGAAGATCATCAGGCGCCAGTTCCATCACCTCCAGCGAGATGGCACCACCAGACACATATTCCATTCCCCTCCCTTGTGCACATTCCGCAGGGACCGTTCCCTCCGGGACACCCTGGTCCACTCTTCCTTCACTCCCAAGAGCACCCCCACAGCCCCAGGGCACCTTCCCCTGTAACCGGCGAAGGTGTAACACCTGCCCATTTACCTCCTCCCTCTGCAGTATCCAAGGTCCCAAACATACTTTCCAGCTGAAGCTGCAACTTACCTGCATTTCCTACAATCTAGTTTACTGTATTTGCTGCTCACAATGTGGTCTCCTCTACATTGGGGAAACAAAGCATAGACTGGGTGACCGCTTCGCAGAACATCTACGTTCTGCTCGCAAATAAGACCCTGAACTACCTGTTGCCTGCTACTTCAATGCGTCACCCTGTTCCCTGGCCAAAATCTCTGTCTCTGGCTTATTGCAACGTTACAGTGAAGCTCAACGCAAGTTGGAAGAAAAACACCTCATTTTCCGCTTGAGGATCCTGCAGCCCTCCGGACTCAACAATCAAGCTCAATAATTTTAGGGCCTGAACTCTCCAGTCCCAGCTCCCTACCCCACACACCAGGCCTAGTTACCACATAGCCTACTGTTTGCCACTAACAGTCTCCATTAACAGTTATTCACCTTCCTAGCCAGATCGTTATCAATTCCTTTGTCTGTCCAACTGTTCTTCTCTCAATGGGCTCTAGTCCCACCTATCATTTACTCCTTTCCCCCTCCCCCCACCCCATCTTCTTATATATAGACCAACATTTTCCTAGCTACCAGCAGTTGTGAGGAAGGGTCACTGGACCTGAAACGTTAACTCTGATTTTTCTTCACAGACGTTGCCAGACCTGCTGAGCTTTTCCAGCAACCTCTGTTTTTGTTCAAAAGGTTGACCATTCGTTTCCAAATATGCGAAATATTAAAAAGCACAAACTGTTCCTGTTTTTAAGCTTCTAAAGATGGGAGAGTATGTCTGTGCTGCCTCTTCAATGGCTGTAAAGCGATGAAAAGAGCACCATCGAGGAAAAAGATTAAGGGTAAATATTGACAAGAGAACTTTGATCTAAAATTATGAAGATGGCTACTCTTAACAGATTGGAAATAAAAAGGCAGTGTCACTTATATATCTTCGACTCGAGATGATTGCAGTTAATTATTGTGTAGAGTGAAAGTCTGGTCCGGATGAAATGAAATCAACCACAGCCAGGCATGTAAAAACAGCATAACTCAAGATGAAAATGTTTGTTATCGAGGCCAAACCCAATCTGCCAATCTCTTCCACACAGCCTATTTTAAAATTTGTTCGGGAAATGTAGGTGCTGCTGGTTGGGCCAGCATTTATTGCCCATTGAGAAGGCAGTGGTGAGCTGTGTTCTTGAATCACTGTAGTCTATTTGGTTTATGTGCACCAAATAATATCAGGGAAGGACTTCCAAGGTTCTGAACCAGCGACACTGAAGAAATAGCCTTATATTTCCAAGTTTGGATGTTCAGTGGTTTGGAGTGAACTTGCAAGTGGTAGTTTTCCCATTTATCAGCTGCCTAGTGGTCATGGGTTTGGAAGGTGCTGTTTAAGGAGCTTTGGTAATTTTCTGCAAAGCATCTTGTAGATGGTACACACTGCTGCCACTGTGCATTGGTGCCTTCCTGCTCCTCTGATGCTGCTTGGCCTGCTGTATTCATTCAGCTCTACACCTTGTTATCTCAGATTCTCCAGCATCGGCAGTTCCTACTATCTCTGAGCATTGGTGGTGGCATGTTTGTGGATATGGTGCTAAACAAGAGCGTTGCTTTGCCTTGGATAACATTGAGCTGTGAGGAGAATTCAGAGATTTGGAACAAATTGTGATTTGGCCAAGCTGAGAGTGTAGGTACATGCTTGGCAGATACATTATAATGTGTATAAATGTGAAGCTATCCATTGTGGGAGCAAAAACAGGAAGGCAGATTATCTGAATGGCTACAAACAGAGAGAAGGGGACACGCAACAAGACCTGGGTGCCCTTGTAAAACAATGAGTGAAGGTAAGCATGTGGGTGCAGCAGGTGATCAAGGAGGGAAATGTTGTGTTGGCCTTCATAGTGACAGGATTGTGTGTAGGAGCAAGGATGTCTTGCTACAATTATACAGAGTCTTGGTAAAATCACAGTTGGAATATTGTTCTTGCTATAGAGTGCAGCAAAGATACACCAAACTGATTACTGGAATTCAGAAGACTGAGGAAGGATCTCATGTAAACTTATAAAATTCTAACAGGGCTTAGCAGGGTATGTGCAGGAAGGATGTTCCTGATGATAGGTGAGTCCAGAACCAGGGGCCACAGTCTAAAGATACAGGGTAAACCATTTTGGACTAAGATGAGGAGAAATTTCTTCACCCAAGAGAATGGGGAGGCTGTGAAATTTGCTTCCAGAGAAAGAAGTCATGGCCAAAACAATACATGATTTCAAAAATAAGTTGGATATAGCATTTGAGACTAAAGGGGTGAAAAGATATGGGGGGATAAAACAGAAACAGGTTACTGAGTTGGATGAAAGGCTGAATGGACCACTCCTACCTCCTATTTTCTATGTTTAAGCTCCTTGAGTGTTGTTGGAGCTGCACTCATCCAGGCAAGTGGGGAGTATTCCATTACACTCCTGACTTGTGCCTTGTAGATGGTGGACAGGCTTTGGGGAGTCAGGAAATAAGTTACTCACTACAGGATTCTTAGCCTCTGGCCTGCTCTTGGAGCCATACTATGTATATGGCTAATTTAGGTCAATTTCTGTTCAATGGTAACCCCTAGGATGTTGCTATTCGGAGTGATGATAATGCCATTCAATATCAAGGGGTGATTGTTGGAAATGGTCATTGCCTGGCACTTGTGGCATGAATGTTGCTTACTGCTTCTTAACCCAAGCCTGGGTATTTTTCTGGTCTTGCTACATATGGATTTGGACTGCTTCAGTATTGAGGAATGCAATCATATTGCATTGCACAATCATCAATGAGCATGCCCACTCTGACCTTATGATGGAGGGAAAGCCATCGATGAAACAGCTGATGAGGATTAGGCCTAGGGCACTACCATGAGGAGCTTCTGCAGCGATGCCCTTGGAGCTGAGATGACTGATCTTCAACTATCATAACCACCTTCCTCCATGCTAAGTATGACTTCAATCAATGAACAATTTTCCCAAGTCCCAGTGACTCTAGCTTTGCTAGGGCTGAGTTGGATGAAAGGACTGCTTGGTGCCTCACTTGGTCAAGTGCAGCCACTCTCACTTCACTGCTGGAATTTTGTTTTTTTATCCATGTTTGAACCAACGGTGTAATGAAGTCAGGAGCTGAATGGCCCTCACAGAAGACAAAATAAAACGTAGGTAAGCAGGTTATTGCTAATTAACTTGACAGCACTGTTGATGACACCTTCCATCACTCTACTGCTGATCAACAGTAGACTGAAGAGGTGTAACTGGATGAGTCTGGCTTGTTCTGATTTTTGTATAGAGAATGTATCTGGGCAATTTTCCACATTTTCAAGTAGATGCCAGTGTTGTATCTGTACTGGAACAACTTGGTCAGGGGTTTGGCAAGTTCTGCAGCATTCTGCCAGAATGTTGTCAGGACCCACAGTCTTTGCAGTATCCAGCACATATAGTCATTTCTTGACATCATATTGAGCAAAGTGAATTGGCTGAAGACTGGCATCTGTGATGCTGGGGACGTCTGGACGAGGCTGGGATGGATTATTTCCTTGGCAGGCCTCCTCCATTATTGAGACTGGGGATATTCTCCAGTGAGTAGTTTAATTGGTCACCGATGTTCATGACTAAATGTGGTAGACCCACAGAACTTAGGTCAGATTCACTGGGTGTGGAATCATTTGGTCCTGCCTGTCACTTGCTACTTATGCTGTTTGGCATGGAAGTTATCCTGTTTTGTAGCTTCACCAGGTGACATAATACTTTTAGGTTTGATTGGTTCTACTCCTGTCATGCCCACCTGCACTCTTCATTGAACTAGGATTAATGATCTGGCTTGATGGCAACAGTAGAGTGGGGGAATACGCCATGCCATGAGTTAGCAGATTTTGTTTTAAGAGTACAATTCTGGAGCTGCTGGTGGCCTTATGGATGCCCAGTCTTGATTTGATAGGTATGTTCCACTTTGCATAATGTAGTGCCACACAATTCTATGGAGGGTTTCCATGATCTAAAGATATATCTTTGTCTCCAAGCGGTTTCTAAGTTACAAGTCCAACAATAAAACCATGAAGCCAGCGTGGCTTCTTTATTCCCTACCATGAATAACATGTATAACACAAATAACACCATTTAAAATTTTCTCTCATCAGAGTAATGTTGAGTTTTGAAACATTTAGGGTAGGGTGAAATTCCTAACCATTTTCAAGCAAAGAAGTTGCATTTCCATGGTCCATTTAATGACCTTAAGATATCCCAAAGCTCTTTACAATCAAAAGTGCTCATTTGAAAAGTAGTTACTGCTACAATGTTGGGTGTGGGCATGTCAAATTACACACAAGATGTTTGCACAAATGGCAAAATTATTCAAAATAACAGTGATAGTAAAACAGCTAATAGTACAAAGCAAAGGCCCACAGATACTAGAAACCTAAAATAAAAACAGAAAATGTTAGAAATATTCAGGTTAGACAGCTACTGTAGAAAGAGATAAAGAGTGTATAATCATAGATTATCTTTCATCAAAACCAATAAAATGATGTAATGGTGTTAGTTGTGATATAAAGTTGACCAATGCACACAGGAGAACTGTGAGTCTGTTTTTTGAAATGTTGCCATGGGATCTTTCATTTCCCTGAGTCAGACCTGCTTAACAAGATATTCAGAGAAATGCACCATCTTAAATCTGTACTCCCTGCACCATCAGGAATCTGTGCTGCACGCTTTCAATGTACATAATGCACTGTGGCGGCCTGTCGGGGCATCCTGGCAGCAGGGCACAGCGAGCCAACATCCATCACCTACCCCAATACACACTCATGAACACACATTCCAACTTGGTCAAAATCCTATCTAACAGCAACACTGGAGATCTTTCATCAAACAGATTACAGCGATTTAAGGCGGCAGCCCATCAACTTCTCAAGGGAAATCAAAGGCAGGCAATAAATGCTGGCCTTGCCAGTTACACACTATCCTCAAAATAAACTAAAAACATAATCATCTAAAAGGAAGCTGTGTACATGAAAGACAATAAAGAACCACTTAAAACTGTATGAAGTACAGAAGAAAAAAAACCAGACTGTTCATCAAAACATGCAATGAAGTACAAATTATACAATTCATACAAGTACTACATTATACGATTTTTAAGGAACAGGCTGTTTGCAGTTTTACCATATTTTAGCAAAATATTGCTGGATTATTACACTTATGAAGAGATCTCATCTAACATTTAGATAAGTATTTAATTTAGGTCAATTAAATTGCACTTTTGGCCTCTAAGTTTAGAAAAATGCTCAGGCAAAGCCCATTTTGGCATTTATGTCTTCACTGTACTACATTTAAAAATGACAACATACAGATATCTACTTGAACTTAAATCAAAGTTAGAATGCAATATTTTTAGAAATTACCTTCGTGAAAATAGCTAAAGGCATACCATATTGATCTTCCTCCAGACCTGAAATTAGCCCTGGGACTATCACTGTCCGGCCTGTGTTAGCCTGTGGTTGCACTGTGATCGGCAAGGATGGGGAATCTGAGGAATCTGATGTAAACGCTTCTCTTTTGTCAGAATTATCCTTTTCGTTTAACACCTCTTCTTTTACCCCATTGTCAGCATGAAGGATGCTTGGATCCAAAGTTTCCCAGTCACACTCTGATGAGTTGGGTGAAATGTGCTGTGGCAGTCGCAACTGCTGCTGTAGTTTACTATCTGTGTGCTTAGACCTCTGTACATCTGAAAAGGTTACCACCTTTTCTATCATCTTCTCATGATGATCTCCTCCTGGATATTTTGTTTCTACACTGAATTCTGAAGCAGGGTTTGAAATATCTGACACAGAAATGGAAACATAATCTTCAGCATTCAAACCATGCTCTTGGAGTGCAACGTCCTCGGAGGTGCTTTTTCGTGGTCTGTAATGTGATGAATCTGCTAGACCATGTTCTACCATTCCTACAACAATGATAAACATGTAGATTATTAGTTGAACAGAATCCAACTGAAAGACCAAACCATTATCCAGAGTTGGTAACCAAAATCAAAATTTCCAAATGAACCCAAATCACAGAAAATGAGGTTTTAAAGAACAAAGAACAAAGAAAATTACAGCACAGGAACAGGCCCTTCGGCCCCTCAAGCCTGCACCGACATGCTGCCCGTCACAACTGAAAGCCCCTACCCTTTCAGGGACTGTATCCCTCTACTCCCATCCTATTCATATATTTGTCATGACGCCCTTTAAAAGCTGCTATAGAATCTGCTTCCAATACCTCTCCCGGCAGCGAGTTCCAGGCACCCACCACCCTCTATGTAAAAAACTTGCCTCATACATCACCTTTAAAGCTTGCCCATCACACCTTAAATCCATGGCCCCTGGTAACTGACTCTTCCACCCTGGGAAAAAGCTTCTGACTGTCCAGTCTGTCCATGCCCTTCATAACCTTGTAGACCTCTATTAGGTCACCCCTCAACCTCTGTCGTTCCAGTGAGAACAACCCAAGTTTCTCCAACCTCTCCTCATAACTAATGCCCTCCATACCAGGCAACATTCTGGTAAATCTTTTCTGTACCCTCTCCAAAGCCACCATATCCTTCTGGTAATGTGGTGACCAGAATTGAACACAATATTCCAAATGCGGCCTAACTAAGGTTCTATAAAGCTGCAACATTACCTGCTAATTTTTAAACTCAATGCCCCAGCCAATGTTTTCTACATAGAAATTGAATATACTGGTAATGCTTGGTAATTTAGCTTCACCACAACAATTAACCTTGGCTTAACGGCAACACTCGAGTCATGGAATCAAAGATATCATGATCTCCATTCCAGAGACTTGAGCACGTAATTCAGGCTGACACTTCAGTTCAGTACTCAAGGCATGCTGCAATGTCACGAATGCTATGCCAAGGTTCCAACGGCCCTCTCAGTTGAATCTCCGAGATCCCTTTGGCATTATCTGAAGAGGAGCAGGGAAGTCCTCCTAGTTCCACAACTAACATTACTAAAAACAGATTATCCGGTCATATATCTAATCACAGTTTTTGGGATCTTGTACTGTGCAAAGTACTTGTCATGTTTCTCTACTCTGCAACAATGACTTCATTTCAAAAGTACTGCATTGACTGCAATGTGCTTTGCAAGGTTCTGAGTTCACTTGCCGATGGTGCAAATGGGTATGTGCCTACCTGGAAAGAGAGACAGAACAGTCATCAGGGTTCCAACCAGACGACTTACTGGTGACAAATAAAACAGAACCTGTAAAGACAGTTGTCATTTTATTATCATTCAAATGATGCAAGTTATATTTTTTTCAAAAATCCATAAACAATCTAAGTGTAGGAATTATTTAAAGTTTTAAGTAGATATAACAAGTTAAAAACCAGTAACTCTCATCACTCCACAAGTCTGTGAAGGTGCTGAGTGCAGCAAAAAGGTCAAATATATGAACTACTTACATAAAGTCCATTAATTCAAGGCTGTAATTCCTCATGTGTTGCCAATTTCTTTCAAATCTGTAACTCATTATATTCGGTAGTGCAAGATTCTGAATGTTTATTAAATAAAAACAGAAAATGCTAGAAATACTCAGCGGCTCAGGCAGTAGCAATGGAGAGAACAGAAGTTAATATTTCAGCTTAGCAACTTGAATTCTGGTGAAATTCATTAACTTGAAACATTCAGATTTCCTCTCCACAGATACTGCCTGACCTGCTGAATATTTCCAGAATTTTGTGTTTTAAGTTCAGATTTCTAGCATCTAAAACATTCAGTTCTGAACATCTGTGAGACAATTTGATAAATTACCACACAGCTATTGAAAGCACAGCAGATCTAGCGTACATATATTCAAAGAACAGTTTATTCACACAAAAACTCAGCCTTCTTATTTTGCCCTGGTAGTGTGACAGATGCGCATCTCTTGTTTGACTGTTCTTTTAGAGTCTAACAACTATTTTATCATATTCATGCATTGTCTGCCTGTTTAAAAATATGATTTACTTAATCTTTAGTGAACACCACTGACAAGGCTGGATTTCCGCTTGCCAAGCCACTGAAGAAGGGATTAAAAATCATGTATTCTGTGCCACTGACACATGTAAAGGGGCAAATTCTCTCTGGTGAAAATAATTAGTTGAGTTTTCACAATTTTTGGTGTAAGCTTATGAGTTTCTTACATTTACTTTTATGGTTGGCAGACCAGTTACACAACAACTTGCCTACTCTAAACATCTATTTGACTATCTGACTTTTTGTGTAATCTTCATGACATTTTATAATAATGCTGCTTACTTTAGGTGCTGAAACAGTACAGCAATTTGACAGGCAGACAAGTTTCATGCCATAATTTGGGATTCAGTACAATGCTACTTCCTGATAATTATTCCACTTTGTTTCTGTTATTTCATCAGAATTCCAAAGATAATCCATTTTTCTGGACTGGAAGCTTAGATGTTTCCCATTTCAAGGTTCAAACCTTGTTGAAATTCCACATCAATTTAGAATTCTATATTTGATATTTATGCACAATTTTCATTAATTGACTCATCGAACAACAAGCAATGTTGGTTTCATCGATTGTGTGCAACATCATTTCTTGATGAGATGGTTGGTCAGGAAAGGAGTTGAGGCCACAAAAAGATCTGCCACAACCTTATCAAATCACACAAATAGGCTTGAGGGGCCAAATGGCCTGTTCCTGCAACTAATATGTATGTTTGTATGGGGAATGTTTTCCCACTATATCATCAGATAAGGAGCTCCAGGATTTTAACCCACAATCGAGTAATGTTGACACATGTCCATGTCAGAATTATATCTGACTTGGAGAATTTGAAATTAATGGTACCTGCTGCCCCTTTCCTTCTGTACAATTGAGGCTGAGGTGTGACAGAAAGCAGCTTGATGATTTGTTACAGGGAATCCTTGTAGGTAATACAAACTGAAGCCACTGTTTACAGTGGTAGAGGGAGTGGACGCTGGATGCATGGAAACCAATCAAGCAGGCTGATTTATCCTCGATGATGTTAAGATTTAGAAAGCGATTGGATCCTATTCAGTCCTGACTCATACTTTATAGGATTGAGAAGCTTTCACATGTCAAAACGTAAGCCTGTCTCCAGCACAGCCAGCCTTGTACCTGCTCTGTTAACCACAGCATACATGCTGCTGGGACAATCCAGCTGGTGACTGAAAAATGTTAATGGTGGGCATTCAGTGATGCCAACAGTACTGAACAACAAGTACACTTTTTGTGGAAACACTCATTGCTTGACAAGTGATATGTGGTATGATATTATGTGATATGTAACGTATGGCATAATCATCTCAAACCTAAATACCCATAGGTGCGGACCTGCGTTGCTCTATTGCTGCAGTGTGTAAACTCCGTTGCAGCAGAAAGCAAATATACTAACACTGCTTTAATATGAATAATCAAACACGAGCAAAATTTCTGACCATCAGCTAATTAGCAGTCACCAGAATTACTTACTTTTTTCTCCAAAAGAATCAACTTGAAGAGAATTATCGTCTGCAAAACAGAAATTAACACTTTTCAGCAACCAACCAATTCTCTATCTATGTCAGTTCACTACCCCAAACTTTTGCGCTTTAAATTTACATACTGAGCTCTTATTGAAAGCCTTCTCAAAGTCCAAGTAAACCACATCCACAGGGTACCCCTTATCAACTCTTCTAGTTATATTTTTTTCCAAATCCAGTAGATTTGTTAAGCATGATGCCCCGTTCATAAATCCATGCTGACTCAGTCCAATCCTGACACGGTTTTTCAACTGCTCTGCTATTAAAGCTCTTATGATGGATTCTAGCACTTTCCCCACTACCAAAGACAGGTTAAACAATCTATATTTCCTGCTTACTGTCTACTTTCTTAACTTAAATAGCAAGGTTATATCAGCAAGCCTCCATCCATAGGAGCTGTTCCAGAGTCTATAGATCCTTGAAAGATGATTATGACTGCATCCACTACTTTGAGGGCTACTTCCTTAAATACTCCGGGATGTAGATCATCGGTCCTTGGAGATTTATCGAGATTTAATCTCATTAATTTCTCCAACACGATGTCCCTACTCATACTGATTTCCTTCAACTCCTCCCTTTCACAGGATCCTGTGCTCCCCAAAGTTTTTGGGACATAATTCATGTCCTCCTTTGTGAAGACAGAACCAAAATACACATTAAATTGCTACGCCATTTCTTGTTTCCCCATTATAACTTCCCGCTTTTGACTGTAATGGACCTACTTGTACTACTAGACTTACTGGGACTTCCCGTTTGCAAAGGCCCATCCTGATCAACCTTCTTTCATAAGGCAACATCTTCACCAGAAATCATCAAATAAATTTTCTCTGAACAGCTTTGAATATAATTACATCTTTCTTAAGTAAGAGACCACAACGGTAGGTACACAGTATTCTGTATGTAGTCTTAGGCCCAATTACAGCTGCAGCAACACTTCCTCAATTTCACACTTAATTCCTCTTGTAGTAAACAGCAACAGTTGTAGTCATGGGTGACTTGAACTTTCCAAATATTGATTGGAAATATTTTAGTTGTAATAGTTTAGATGGAGCAGATTTTGTCCAGTGCGTTCAGGAAGGATTCCTGACACATTACGTAGATAGACCAACACGAGGAGAGGCCACTTTGGATTTGGTGCTTGGCAATGAACTGGGCCAAGTGTTAGACCTGTTGGTAGGACAGCATTTTGGCGGTAGTGATCATAACTCTGTTTCTTTCACGATAGTCATGGATAAGGATAGGTACATACGGCAGGGTAAAGTTTACAATTGGAAGAAGGGTAATTACAATTCAGTTAGGCAAGAACTGGGTAACATAAATTGGGAACAGATGCTGTCAGGGAAAAGCACCACAGAAATGTGGAGATTGTTTAAGGAATGCATACTGCATGTGCTTGATATGTTTGTCCCTAGCAGGCAGAGAAGATGCGGTCGAGTGAAGGAGCCATGGTTCTCGAGAGAGGTCGAAGGACTGGTTAAGAGGAAGAAGGAAGCTTATGTAAGGTTTAGGAAAAGAGGAATGGAAAAGGCTCTACAGGGATACAAGTTAGCCAGGAAGGAGCTGAAGAAAGGGCTTAGGTGAGCTATAAGGGAGCATGAGAAAATGTTGGCAGATAGGATCAAGGAAAACTCCAAGGCTTTTTACACGTATGTGCAGAACAAGAGAATGACCAGAGAAAGGGTAGGGCCGATCAAGGATTGTAAAGGGAATTTGTGCTCAGAGCCTAAAGAGATAGGAGGGGTCCTCAATGAATACTTTTCTTCAGTATTCACAACTGCGGGGGACCTAGTTGGAGAGGAGGACGTTGTGAAGCAGGCAGGTAGGCTAGAGGAGGTTGATGTTAGTAAAAGAAGATGTGCTAGGAATTCTGAGGAAGTTGAAGATAGATAAGTCCCCTGGGCCTGATGGGATTTATCCAAGGATTCTATGGGAAGCGAGGGACGAGATCGCAGGGCCTTTGGCGATGATCTTTTTGTCCTCACTGTCCACGGGTATAGTGCCAGAAGATTGGAAAGAGGCAAATGTCATTCCCTTGTTCAAAAAACGGAACAGGGATAACCCCGGAAATTACAGGCCAGTTAGTCTTACGTCAGTGGTGGGCAAATTATTGGAAAGGGCTCGGAGACACAGGATTTAAGATCACTTGGAAAGGCACAGTTTGATTCGTGATAGTCAGCATGGATTTGTGAGGGGTAGATCATGCCTCACAAACCTTATTGAATTCTTTGAAGAGGTGACCAAACACGTGGATGAAGGTGGAACAGTGGATGTGGTATACATGGATTTAAGTAAGGCGTTTGATAAGGTTCCCCATGATAGGCTCATGCAGAAGGTAAGGAGGCATGGGATAGGGGGAAATGTGGCAGATTGGATTCAGAATTGGCTGACCCTTAGAAGACAAAGGGTGGTAGTGGACGGAAAATATTCAGCATGGTGCTCAGTCACGAGTGGTGTACCACAAGGATCTGTTCTGGGTCCTCTTCTATTTGTGATTTTTGTCAATGATTTGGATGAAGGAGTGGAAGGGTGGATTAGCAAGTTCACTGATGATATAAAGGTGGGTCACGTTGTGGACAGTGCGGAGGGCTGTTCTAGGTTACAAAGGGACATTGATAGAATGCAGAGCTGGGCTGAGAAGTGGCAGATGGAGTTTAACCCTGAAAAGTGTGAGGTGATTCATTTTGGAAGGACAAACTTGAAAGCAGA